GAGCTTTCCTAATTGAACAATTACAAAAACAAGATATAACCATTTTCAGAGTACTGATAGAGCAATGGATCCGTGCAAAGTATGAACGTGAGGAATTTTGCCATCCAGAACGTCAGAGTTACCTCTCAGGTACCATGGAGGGATTCCTCATGAAGAGAGGAAAGGAGGATAGCCGTTACCAGCTGAGGAAGTTCGTCTTAAGTGAGAATGAGGACACCCTTAAGTGAGTCAAAATGTATCGTTAACTGAACATAATGACACAATTACATTTGGTCGTTGGCCGCATTCAAACATCGATTCGCCGAAACACTTAACCCTGCTCGTGCTAACGTAGTCGCTCGCGCTCACTCGCCGAATAAGGCCGCGTACACACGCGCATACAAACCCATAATCCAGTCCAAAGAATGCGGTGGAAATGACCAAATGCAATCGCCATGTTTATTATAAAAGCTTTCTGTGTAAGATAACAAGTTACGTCGCATTTTGTTACTAATATAACGCTCGTGAACGTCATTATCACTCGTCCTAGCTATTTTGTTCGATTACTTATGTCTGCCTGTTTATATTTCTATAATTATTTTCATACATCAGCTTACATTGGCTTTAAATCATTGTCAGATTCAAAATTTGTCGTTCATAAAGAAAATTAACACCTGTACCCATCTCATTAAACGTTCAACGGTCAACGTAATGACACAGGTAATCACAATTCTCGAACAGTATTAGGTGTGTCTTCACTGGAATATCGTCACAACAAATTATCAAAACAGGAAAACGAATGGACGTAGAGTCGTTAGGCAGGACCGCAAAAATGTTAATATTTATAAAGGTGCCGAACCGTTCTATGTATTTTAGGCTTTTACAGACGCAGACCTCTATCTGCAAATAAACGGGTATTTAAGTATTTAATAATAGATTTTGTTTAAATAAGAAGTAGTGCTATTATTTTCGGTAAATAAGTAAGAACATATTATTATATATATCGTGGTATATTTAGGCAGACAAAGCTGATAAACCACATCCAAATAAATCGGTTTCAGGACAATAGCTACTTTCATAAATAGATATTTGCTTCGACACTCTAATGACGCAAAATCTAAATTACACAGTAATGAAATAATGAGCTATTTTTGTACTTGTTATGCACAGTACATTATTTGTAAATGTGTTAAGTTGTTACATATCAAACAACATAATAAAACTGTCGCTGGTTGATGAAACACTTGAAGAAAATGTCCCAACTCGGTGACGGCGCTTCGTTTATCTCCTGATAAAGTGAGATAAAATCGTTTTCGTTGAAAACAGTAGGTACTTGTGTGACGTACACGAAAAGTTCCACACCTCTTATTGCTATCCTACGTCAAGTCTTAAACAAATGTTGACATACTACGTAATTATGGACTCAAAAAATTGTTTGCCACAGTCACTACTCTCCTGTGTTTTCACACGCCAGTTAAAAATTTTGTGGCAAACAGCGTTATGATTTAAGGTCTGAGTAGTTTTAAAATGTATGTTGTGACGTAGTTCCTAATTAAGCTGAGCCTTATTTAATGGACAGTTACTATGGCATGATCAAACACGTCATGGAACGTTGACATTGTGTTGAGAGATATCCTTCACCTTGCGTTATTAGGTTATTCGACTTCGCTATGTTGTTTGTTAGCGTCTGTTTACTCAAACGATTTGTACATAATATGGCGATAATAAATTAGAGGCATAATTAGGCGTTGAATAAATTAAATCTAACTTCTTAACTAAATCGGTTGAGAAGATTAAATCAATTCATGTAGATTTTAATAATTTACGGCAAGTTACTGCTAGTACTGCTTTAAACTTAATAAAAGAAATAATTTACTAGAATATGTGCTATAATTGTTATAGTAAAACACGTATAAAATAGAATAAAATACCTATATACCTAAAGTACACCACATTCGTACAATTTACCTCGTTACTCGGTTGGTTTAATGCTGACAAATCGCATTCCTTGGCTACAATCGCCAATGGGTAATCCCCTGACGCATGTTTACACTGAAAAGTGTTATTTATAGCATAACAATCTAATTAGTAAATATGTTTTTATAAAAATAAATGTGGAAATAGGTAAATTAACTAAGTATTTACAATAACTGCAAAAACAAACGAAAAATCAAACAGCATTCTTGCAAGTTAGGCATGAAAACGACTGTAGTGTTACTTTAAGAATGAATTTTTTGAGGTTTATAGGAGTTTGTCCCTTATGATAACGAGCACTAAAGCTAGTTTTTTTCGAAGTAGTTTAGCTTAAACATATCCGGACTGGTTCTTAGGTATCATCCCGCTACTGACGGCTGCGGCCGTACAACTGGTTGTCTCGATCGGTTAATCGATCGTCTCCGCGTCAAAAACTTTGGTCCTTTGAGGTAAGAACGAATGCGAAATTTAAACGAAAATTTCAATAGTATTATTGAACAGTTTACGTCTATCTCGAGTAGGTAAGAGTTGTTGAACAAACGTCTCTATCACCTCATGTTAAGGTCATTTATCATGTGCAGAATTACCATCAAATCAGTACCATCTGTGTTGCATGTAGTCATATTGTACTTTCATAGCTGAAGATGCTATCAAATTAATGGGGCGTCATAACGTATGTATTTTTTTCTATGGAATTAAGATACGTCTATGTGCACGTGGATAGTATCTAGGGAGTTGAACAGATAGCCAGTGCCAAATCAAAACTATAGCTTCAGTGCGTGATCTTAGACTTCATTTTTAATATTTTACATTTTTTGCATGCGTTGAAGCTGTAGTTTCTTTTGGGGCAACCTATCCTTTCAACTCCATATTTGATTGTATTCTAAAATGTTTAATGCCTGCAATCTATGTGTCATTAACAAAGTGTGCTTGTTGCAAAATATTCATGTTTATGTTCTCGACTACTCCGAAATAAAGAAATTATTCGGTCGCCGAAAAAGATCGGCTGTAGTTACAGGGTTGGGAGAGTTCAAGGCGAGAAAATATTCGGCATATATTGCACCACGTTGTGATATTCTGTAAAGTGACGTTATTATATAGTGTCGGTATTTTTACTAAATAAGAATCAATGTTTAGATTGAGTGACGTATTCGTATTGTAAATGTTCGGAAAACTAATAAATGCTGGATTAGCTTAGTGTAGGTGGATAAGATGGTAGTAAACAAGTGTTGATTACAATCAAACGTCACCGCAAGTCGTTTGGTTACAAAGTTCATTAGGTTGATGTGCGGACGCCGATATATTTGTAAACAATTAATTAATTGATTGTTACATTCTTAGCCGCTCACGATATCTTGATCGATGTACTTACCTACCACAAATATCTACATTTACTGCATGAAAGGTTATGGGTTCGGGTTGTGGTTGACAATTTAAAAACTTTAAGAGCGATAATGTTCTCGATAAGGATCAAGTATTACTATTTTTTTTATGGCATAAGCCGGTAAACGATCAGACGGATCACCTGATGGTAAGTAATCGGCGTCGCCCATGGACACCTGGAACACCAGAGGCGTTACAAGTGCGTCACCGGCTTTTTAGGGATTAGGAGTTTGAGGATCGTTGGGGATTCAGGGATTGGGGAGATGGGAGAAGGGGAAGGTAATTGGGCCTCCGGTAACCTCACTCACACGACGAAACACAACGCAAGCGTTGCTTCACGTCGGTTTTCTGTGAGGCCGTGGTATCACTCCGGTCGAGCCGGCCCATTCGTGCGGAAGCATGGCTCTCCCACACTTAAAATGGCACCAGTTAGGAAAAACAAATTTTTCGAGTTACGTGTTAGAATGAATGACTACGAAATGAATCAAGTACTACAATGGAAGACTTCCATTGTAGTACTTGATTCATTTCGTGGACATTCAAACTCTTAAAGGTTTTGCGTCTCCATTATTGAAATTAGTAAAGTATTATTACTTCTGTATTGTTTTATTCTTGTTACGAATCGTAAGGTTGTGGTGAAACAGACTTTAGCATGCCGAATATGTTCCCGCCTTTTTTTGAAATAGAGGTTTCACAGGTGAATGGAGAGATGTGACTAAACTTCGAACAATTTTCAACCTTGTGTAAAATAGTTGAAGGTTTTCTTTTGCACCCTATCTTTTTGTAGGTAAAATGGTTTAAGGAATTTTAATATATGGTGAAAATTTAGCGTTAGGGATATGGGGAATTCTTAGGTATTTCTTTTAGGTATCTTTGAGCACCTGTGTTTTATTATAAGGGGGATTTTTGGTGTATTAGACTATTATTTATATAAAAGGGTGTTCTTATCTTCAGATACCATGTCAGGGAGAACAAGGAACCTAAGGGTGTACTCAAACTGTCGGAATTGAACGTGGCGTTTGCTCCTTCAAAGATCGGTCATATGAACTCCATGCAACTCACGTTCATGAAGGACGGGTCCACCAGGCACATCTACGTGTACCACGAGGATCCGGAGGTTATTAGCAATTGGTAAGTATTTTAAATAACTATCGTGAGACATACTAAATTAACTAAAAATCGCGGGTTACTCACGTGAATATACTGAGAAAAGCTCTACTAGAGACACAGAGAGGCGTACGCGCCAACTGAATAGAGCTTACTAGTGATTTTTAGCTAAGTTTTTAAAGTTGTTTTTTTATGATGTTAAAGGTTTCTATTCATTGAAAAGGGTTCCCTTTGCTGATATTTCGTTCATAACCTACCGTATTATCTAAAGCATGTTAAAGCGAAGATGAATTAGATTCCCTATTACAATAACACAACTGGCGAAAGGTTTAATATGTCTTTTTAACCGACTTCAAAAAATAAGTAGGTTTTGACCTGTATGTATGTATGTAATGTATTTGTGCGATTATCTCGGGAATGGCTGAACCTATTTTGATACGCATTTGTCTATAAAAGAATCAAGTAATTTAGTGTTCCTCACTTCCTCTAGTTATTCCTTCAGGGTCATATACCTATATCAAAAAGTATTCTAAGAAATGTGTGTACGTTCCAGTTTCTATATCACAGATAATTCCTTGTATTTTCCCATTTATTAGATGTTTTGGCCAGATAGGTATGTAATTAAAGTTGTAAAATGAGGCGACGAAATAACTGATAACTATCTAATGGGCACTGGCGCCAACAGCTTTACATAAAGTACCTATTAGCTGGCAAATTCCATATTTTCCAATTTAATTCACACTTCTATTTAATTAATTTACGTGGAACTTATAAAAAGTGTAAACACAAACGTTGTAGATCTGTTCAGTAGGTATCTACAACTGTGCTATCGAACTTTGTTCTGAAGGTCCTATAATTCTTCGGCAAATCCCGATAAACCGATTTTTTTCTTCTAACGCCCATCTTTTTCCCGAACTCAGTTCGCCCGTAATTTATTTTTACATATTTTTTGTGCACATTTTCTTCCCTTTCTAATGGGCTTCATTCTATCATTCATACTATTTAACAATGTTTCCGTTAATGACTTTATCTACCCCGGTCTATTACTAATCATTGATAAATAATCTATACTAATTACTTATATTTATTTGTAACTAGCGGCCCGTCCCGGCTTCGCACGGGGGGACTTAAGATTTTTTACATAGTTTTACGTTTTATTTATATTTATTCTCAGTTTTTTTTTATTTAGGTTAAAACGATTGTTATGGGTAAACTATAAAAGGTAGACATATGCTCTAGCGGACTTTTTTAAAAATAATGTTAAGATGAACAATTCATCTATAGAGCATTTTTGTATAACTTTAACTATATGCTCAGCGCACGCCACGAAAGGCCTCAGAAACGATACTTTTCCCCCGTTTTTAAAACATTGTTGGTTACTGCTCCACAATTATAGGACCTAGCGTGATATTATATAGCCTATGTTACTTCTGAATAATGCAGCTTTCTAATGGTGAAAAAATTATTGCAATCGGTCCAGTAGTTTTTGAGTTTATTCATTACAAACATACAAAAATACAAAAATACAAATCTTTCCTCTTTATAATTATAATTATAAATAATATTAGTATAGATATATTAAGCTAGAGTTGGTTTGTTATTATGTACTGTATTATTGTTATGTACAAACACATATTATTAAGTTTTTGTGACATCTATGCACTTTTACTTGAGTATCAAATAAACATAACATTACCTAGGTACCTCTTTTTCTCCACTACACAGAATTAATACTTCAAAGCATATCTTGCTTTTGGGAATAAGATTAGGAACGTCTCTTCTCTACAGAGCTGATGTTGTGTTTTTTGATAATTCAAGTGAATAATCAAAATACATTATTGCAATTGAGGGGGTTTTAAGTCATAAAACTATCATTAACCCTTTTCCTTCCGCGGTTAGAGATATGAGCTATCTACTTAATACCACGATACAAAGCTTTGAGCTCAGCTATAACAAATAGGTCCTATTTGTTAAAAGTTAAGAATCTGTGCTCAGTGCTATCAATTTAAAATCAGTGGATATATGGAAATAGTCTCTAATGTCTCTCATAAGTCGGATCCTGGAGTTTATACTGGAAATTCGAAACGTAAATCAGGGAAATGTAGACTTTAAAGCAACAAACAATAAAGTAGGAACATTAGCAACGCTTCTCACCGAATATGTTAATGAATAAAGAGATAACGCACCCAAATTAAATGCGAGCGTGACTAAATGGACACTAAATCTGGATTAACGAGTTGAGAGTGACTTCTGCCTATCCATAAAACAAAAAAAGTCGAAACCTAAATTCGTATATTTAAATAATTATGGAAATACGCCCCAGCCTTGAGAGAGTAGGTACTTCAAGGAATTCCCATAAATTTTTATGATCTTGATATGTTAATGGTGTAAACGTAACGAATAGTTACCATAAATTACCCTTTTTGCGCGACTACCAAATGGGGGAAGGAGGATGCGCGTGTACGCCTACATGTATATCTAAAACACCTATGTAACATTTGAAATCGAACACCAAGAGATCGTATTAATGAAAGTCTATTAACATATTAAATGGCTACACGAATACATTAATGTTGTTTGTTTGTAATAAAATAAAATGACCATGTTACATCGGCACACCTGCCGTAGACAAATATTCCAAAAATAAATTAAAATGTAGAGCACAATTTAATAATACAAACAAAATAAAAATAAATAAGTTCTAGCACTATCTGACTACATACATATAACCTACTTTGTACAGTTATATGTCAACAAAAGTCTTCTGCAAATCAAGACAAAAGCTTTATTATTTTTATCGATGCCTTAATTTATTATTATTCTATCATTCGCTATAGAGATATACAATAAATCAAAGATTATAGAAATGATTGTGTTACTCCCGAAAGGATAACAAATGCACTTACTAGCGCCGGAATACTGAAAGATTACTCAATTTTAAGTTGTACCTAGGGGGTGAGCCTATTGCCATATACCGGGCACAATTCCAGACTCCGTGCTACTACTGAGATTTTTTTTAAAAACCCAGTAATACTTTGCCCGACCCGTATGTGTCACATCCAATTTTCACTGATCATGTAGTTATGAAAAATCCTGTTCGCTCTTCCCTCGGCTTTCATAGCCTAAGACACAACACATTTGCAGAAACCTGGTAAAAGCATTCTCTGACAACCTGATCCTCTCTGAAACCGGATCCTTTTAAACTTCGATTTCCAACCTGCCTTCTAACTGTTGAGATTAAGGCGAACTCCTCTTTTCTAGACGAGCCCCTACCCCAATCGTGTGTCGCGGAGAACCTAACGGGTTACCGGGGCTCCGGTTCGAAGCGCAGAAGAAGGAACGGGGTGGTTTATAGTCAGTAAGAGTCTGACACTCCCTCTCGCCTCACCCAGACGGGAGTAGTCATTCGATGATTTTCCCCCTTTAAAAAAACCCAATCGTTTCGATAACCCTCATGGACCATTGATGATGAATTCTTATAAAACTTTGCCCTCTATAGGTACACAGCAATCCGCTGCGCCCAACTGCACCTCCTTCAGGTCGCGTTCCCATCAATGCCACAATCGGACTTAGTACTCCGTCTCCCCAAGGACTTCGCTCGTGAAGGCTGGCTGTGGAAGACTGGCCCTCGACCTTCGGACGCTCACCGTCGACGATGGTTCACCTTAGATAATAGGAAGCTCATGTATCACGATGAGCCTCTTGATGCTTATCCCAAAGGAGAGATCTTTGTTGGTAAGTCGTACATTTACTTTTATTGTTCGTTGCGATGGTTTATAACAGGTAGGTACAGCATAGCCTTCAAACTTATAGCCAACTCAGTAAGATTATTCGACAAGGTGTCAAACTACTCGCCAACCGATTAAAAAAAAAACATTAAAGACTACTGTGTAGTGAGACTTCAGTAATCACCAACATTGCCCAATAAAGTTTTTTTTAAACTTTAATTAGAATAAGAAAAAAGATAAAGTAAAATATTGTCGAAAAGAAAAGTATTGTGCTTGTTTATTTGTTGGTATTCAGTATCACCACGTAATCACTTGGTAATATTCCCGAACCCTTTAAACCGAACTTTGACCATTCTCAATGACAAAAACAAAACCTTAATGACATAGTACATTTATCTTAAATCAATATCTCCCAACGACAGTGACAACAGAAACTATAAAGTTTTAGATAACAAGTCCATAGACTTCTAACAATCCATTATGATTGTATGAGATATCATATGGGCGTTAAAAACATCAAGTAAAAAACCCCAGTTTGTTTAATTGAATAAACTGAGACGTCTACACTGATGCTAATTGATGACGAGATCTCACAAGACTCGACTGTTGTCACAAAAATGGTGTTGTTTATGTTGGGAGATTCAAGCGGTTGTGTGTCATTCGGAAAGCTTTTTACAAGGTCATTCGGATGTTTCTAGTTTATTTAGTTAAGCAGTTTTATTACCTAACTTCAAAGAATTTTGAGCTTTCTCGTTTCTTTCTCATTGTTTTTAAATAACTTTCACTGGTTTCCCTATAAAAATTACTATTTCCTTTACCGATGTACCGCTATAAGGTCGTGATACAACGCTTGCATTGTGTTTCGTCGTGTGAGTGAGGTTACCGGGGGCCTAATTACCACTCCTGCCAAGTTTCCCCAATTCCCGAATCCTTCAGAATTCTCGAATTCCCATTTCCCAAAACGCCGGTAACGCACTTGTAACGCCTCGGTATTCAGATGTCCATGGGCGGCGCCGATTGCTTACCATCAGGTGATCCGTGTGGCAGTTTATCGGCTGACCCAATAAAAAAAAAATAACAGCAGAGTGTTGGCCAGATAGCAAACTTCTGTGCTGTTCTTCATCCTCATCTGGATAGGAGTATTAGAATGGAAATGCCATACTGATTACACTCCCTACTTAGGAAGTTTCAATTCCTAATAGCGTTTAAAATGTCCATTGTATAGGTAGCGTCATCCTCGCTAATTATACTAGTAGTAGGCACTAATCTGGGCACGCTGTCACAATATTTAAAGATGAACACATTCATAAAAAAAAATATTTATACTCTATGGTCATCTCACTGGCAACATCATTGTACTTCTTTGTGCACGACCTGTCACGTCGTACCCTGGAAAATTTTTCAATTTAATTTGGTGATTTTCCTACTAAATGGGTCGAAAACGTCGCAAGCAGATAGGAAAACTGATGGAGTGTATGCAGGAATTGGATAATTGGGCGAAACCGGCGAGAGGACGCATTCGTTGTCGTCAGTTTGGTAAGTTTTTTCTTGTAGGTACTTACACCACATTGTGGGGCGTTTTCCAATAGCTTCCACAAGCGGATAGCCTTGAGAATGATTGTGTACGCAACATACACACTTGAAACGTACCATAAGAGCCCTCAGGAGAGGTGAGCCATTGGTTATACGTTTTCTATATACCTAGATTAAACCACAAGAGCCTTCACGAGAGGTCGGCCGTTGGTTACACGTTTACTATAGATCGAAACCACAAGAGCCTTCACGAGAGGTTGGCCGTTGGTTACATGTTTACTATAGATCGAACCACAAGAGCCTTCACGAGAGGTTGGCCGTTGGTTACATGTTTACTGTAGATCGAACCACAAGAGCCTTCACGAGAGGTTGGCCGTTGGTAACTCTACTATAGAATTAACCACAAGAGCTTTCACGAGAGGTTAGCCATTGGTTTACTTGACTTTGGAACGAACCACAAGAGCTTTCACGAGAGGTCAGCCGTTGGTTACTTGACTTTGAAGCAAACCACAAGAGCTTTCACGAGAGGTTAGCCACGGGTTTAAGTCACATTTAGTCAAACATTTCCAACTGCAATCCTAGAGCTTTCACGAGAGGTTAGCCGTGGATCATTTAAACTACCTTGCAGTTAGAAACTTAAAATCAGTTCGCTTTGCCTCAGAAGAACATGAAGCCATTCCAGTTGAAGCCGCTCACCATGGCATGGCACCGAAGCCAATCAACATGAGTTGGAAACTACTCCTATAGTCTCGCTCCAGTCAGTAAATATACTCCGGAGCAATTGCTACCTATGCTTATGGGAAATGGGACATTTCCTTAGCCAGCTATTCCATAGTGTTGCATGTTGGACAAAGCCATTCTTATCAAATGATTACACTTATTTTCCCTTTTCATAATTATTATAACCTAATTCCTCCCAATGTCTCAAATAAATGAGGAGGGGAGGAGGTGCCACTAAATAAAGATGGGATTGAGTGAGACGATAGGATTGTGAATATCAAATGACTCTAGGAGCAGTTACTGTTCGCAAATTAATTAACAAACCTATTAAAGATTTTAAGGATACAGCCAGACTGCTCTGTAAATTATTAACATGTGCCCCTGAATGAAGATCAGAACACAAATAGGTGTTCTAGCTATATATACAGTAATAAATAGTGCTTCAAGACAAGTTTATTGCAAGTAAAGCTATCAGAGAGTCTAAACTTGAATTGGAGAACATCCAAGAAAACCTTTTAGACTACCAACTTCATGCCAACCACATCAACAAACACTGTGTGATGTACAAACAATATGTGTGTGTGTGTGTGTGTGTGTGTGAGCAAAAACCAAAACTAAAGCGAACACATGATTACAAGAAAATCAACAAGGCCGATGCATCCTCTACAGAATTTCTAATTCTACCCACAGCACTGAGGTCCGGATCATCGCTAGTACAGGTAGATCACATTACCTTTCTGAACAATAGAGTTCTGCTTTAGGTTTCCCAACCATACTTAGTTGGATTAATAGGTATAAATTACCATCACTGATATTCCTGTTCAGACAAATATACCACAAAATACCCACATAGGTGTAAAAGCAAAATAATTTTACTTCTGAAGGAAAATTGTTAAAGCTAAGGTGCTGTACTGTACCATATATGTAGATAACTGACTAAGTGATTACTTGCCAGTTTATCTTCACATTCCAGAACAAATGGTCCTTCAGGCAATTAAATAATTAAGGACTATAATAAATTATGTTACTATTAATATAAACAATGGATCTAGAACCATTTCTAAAACTCCTCATATGTTGAAGTGTCTTCAGATGCATGATCAACTTAAGAATGCATTTTATTTAATATCAGTGAAGGAAAATGGTGAATGACAAACATTTGCGGTTCTTATTTGTCTTCCCAAAGAGTAACCTTATACATTGTATAGTATTGATTACACGAAATTATGTTGATGATATTCCTTAATTTTGCAGAACATAAGAAATGTCTAGACTATATTACTAATACAGAACCTTACAGAAGTATTCTTGTAAACTTGGTATAGTATTAAATATTATTTATACTGAAAAGGGTGATTCTTTCAGTATATAGGATTAATTTCTTACTCTAGACAACTCTATATAAGTGCCACTTAAAAAGGTGGATTTTATTACAAGTATAATGAAAATTGTATGACCTAAACAAAAAGTTGCAGATTTTTGATTCCGTTCAACTTTAAAGTTAACATTGTTTGCTCGCCCAGCTATGGAATTTGGCTGGCTCCATGTTAAAATTAGGTTAATAATTGAAATTGTAAGGCCAATATAATAACTATTAAGCGAATACGCACAACAAAATATTCACTGTAAACAATATTTACGTTTGTTTGACATGTTGACATTAAAACATCAGATGTCAAATACGTTCTGTTTTACCAAAAAGAACTTGAACACTTGTTATTTAAGTTAATCTAGAATAAATGTTTACACCTTAAAAGAAAATAAGGCCGGTAAAGAAATACCTAAATAAACTCAGATGTCCCATTCGCACGAGTTTAAATCAAAGTTTGCCTCCAAAACCACTTGGTGTATCACGCCAAAGATCTATAGGCAAACAAGTATAAGAGACTGAAATATATGTATCATGGGTTCCTGACCCTGATATCTTTACTGTTGTTTTCACTATTCAGTAAGTGCAGGAAGATTCTTTTTCCATGCCCTCCTTCTTTTCGGAATTTTAAAAGTCATAAAGAGAAAAAGGGGGGGGGGGTATATGCAAAGGTTATTAGGATCCATTATTGATACCCACGGTTCAACTCAAGTTTCTGAACCTCATTAAGTTCTAGTGTTATCTCTGGTTGTTTCCTTCCAGAAGTTCACCCACTTTACACAACATATACAATGTAGTCACCACCATATAATCAGGAATGAATTCCTAAGAAAAGGAATAGGTACTGCATTCTATGGGAATAATGCTAGCATCACATTGTAAAGTAAAACAAAACAGCAATACGACTTTGCTTTGACTTTTTCAGCATATGTATCCGTTGTGATTATTATATTTTTACTTCTAAATTTACCTATCATACAGTTTATTGAATACTATTAGATAGGTACTTCATTAGTCCTAGGTCCTCTTGTGTGAAATTATTAAGAAACTACCTACAAGATTTTTTAGAAGTGTATACAAATTAAGGCCAAAAAGAAAAAGAAACTTTAATATGTGGTGTGCGGTTCCAGTTTTATTCTAAAATAGGTACATAATTGTGTATTATTACAATTATTATTTAAAACCCTGAGGGTTACTGGTAGAATATGCCACTTGGAATCAAGTTCACCATGTACCGTAACTTTATTGTATTGTGTACATGACAATCTAAATAAATCAATATTATTATGTACCTGTATGTACTCCAATGATAATCTTAGCTTAAAACTTTAGTTTAAAACATCAATTAATTAGCACATATAATTCACACTATCTCTATCACTATAGATTGTACCTAAATGATAATGCCAATAAACCTGAACCATATTTAATAGTACCTACCTACCTACTATTTTTTATTTTTAAGAACAATTTTTAAATCATTGTTCTGGGATCAATCATATTCTACAATTTCAAGTGAATGTATGTCTAGTACTATAACAGTGGACTCTCAACCTCTTCTAAAGCCTCACAGAGATGTATCAATCAGTATCAAAGTCATATATTTAAGTAAGACGACTGCCTGGTCAGTCAATCCATTTTTCCACCAACAATCCTAATATTGCATGAGCTTATTAGCTCTGTATATCACTATGTATGGAGTCATGATCATAATGTAGATCTACTGAAAATGGAGAAGTTAGATAATATATAAAAAAAAAAAAAAAAAAAAGAAACTGATAATTTTGAAGAAAACAACCTATTGAAAGACGTTAAATTTTCGCAATAGACTGAATTTGAACAACGTTATAGTTCAAAACGTACATAGTAGGTGTACCTATAGTTGGTGTAGTGGACACCAGAATTTCAAGATAATAATATTGTTGCTATGCTTACTAAATAATTAAATTAATAAATAAGGACATTTAATTATTTTTCCATCACAATACATAATGATGTAGATCTTAATATTAATCTTATAATATTGACATAAGCTTGTTTCTTCTCTTCACTTCACTTTGGTTCTACATAGGGTTAATGCAGTTTACCTGACAATACAATGATGAAAGTCAGGAACCCAAACTAAGATAACCCGTGCTTTGGGCTTCTGTTTATTTTTAATACTATTTTTAAAATGTATTTAATTTTATAAGTATTTTTATTTGATAAAAATGATTGAAAACAATACCATAACCATAAGTAGCTATTATATCTAATAATGGTTTAGTGGCTTACATCTTGGGGAAATTATAAACGTAATTTGATTATTGCTTAAGTTTTTACTAGTACTATATAGTACTCGTGAGATATTGATGTTATTGACAATGTCATATATCTTGTTTAAGTGCAACAATGTTCAATGATTAAACAGTGTTGTTTGTCAACACAACTCCTTCTTTGAACGTCTACTAGTATAATTAGCGAGGATGACGCTACCTATACAATTAAATAGATCGGACTAACTTACCTGTGACGTCCGATCCTCAATTGTGTAGGTAGCGTCATCCTCGCTAGGTCCCAACCCTTCCCGGATAATAAACATGTTTATTTTTACCCCTGGTCGAGTTGTGTTGCAGTTGCAGGTGCTTTGAAGTAAATGATGTTGCCAGTGAGATGACCATAGAGTATAAATATTTTTTTTTATGAATGTGTTCATCTTTAAATATTGTGACAGCGTGCCCAGATTAGTGCCTACTACTAGTATAATTAGCGAGGATGACGCTACCTACACAATTGAGGATCGGACGTCACAGGTAAGTTAGTCCGATCTATTTAATTATCTTTTATGGCACTTAAAGATAAATAATACTTTATGAGTTGAAATAACCGAAAAACGTAAAGAAACCCAAAGTAGTATTAAAAGACTAGTTGAACAAAGACAGAAGTTCATATTAAACCTTTTTTAACATCCTATCCGCAGGTCACGAATCCAACGGCTACTGCATCAAAGTATCGAATACAGGCAACGGTTGCAAGGACGCGCGGTTTCCCTTCCAGCTGGTTACTCCCGACCGAACGTACTGCCTCGCCGCGACCACTCACGAAGACCGCGACGGTTGGCTCGCTGTCATACAGCAGACAATCAAGAGGCCGCTCACACCACAGGATTCTACCAGTGAGTATTCATTCTAACATTGGACTTTGTAGACCCCCCATAAGGTTGACTTTAGGTTGTAATGAGGGGGCTTTAATGCCGGTGTATGTAGAGGACCCGGTGCCCCCTATAAGGGGATTGTGACTTAAGCGAGACAAAATTCCGACACTTTCGAATTTTCTTCGCCAAAACCTTGGTCTCCAAAAAGGGATCTATAGAAAGGAAACGCGTATGTATGTACCAGAAACTGCACATGGTCCTTTGATGCTAATTATTAGATACTTTTTAATTTGAATTAAAAGCCTAATAATAGTAAAGAAGAAAGCATGACCAAATGCTAATAGGAAAAAACCATTAGAACAGTTACCATATTAGTTCGTTTGTAACATTACTAATTAAAATCAATCGATGACTCAGACAACGTTGATATCATGTTTTCATTAAATGCATAAAAAATAACGATTGTTAGTAGATAAAAAAATAATAATAACATGTAATAGTGACTCCAAAGTTCGCGTATTAAAGGTAATTGGCTCAGTCACTATTTTTAAAATACATAGTAAAAACTAGTTCCGCTCCATACCTCGGTACTTTGAACTCTCGTCTAATTTTAGTTCAGTGCAAAGTTTATTTTGTTCTGATTCTGAAATTGTTTATATCTAACGACGAGATAATACACAAATAGCCTGATATGCTGATAATACGAATGTATTCTCCCTGACAGTTTCTTACTATATATACTTATTAACAACGTGTAATTAAATATTATATATCTGTCATGTTCCACTTCTGGCTAAATACTATATCCGTTTTCGACACGGAGAAAAACTTATAATTGACTATCTTTCCATGCTTCGGCACGAATGGGCCGGCTCGACCGGAGTGATACCACGGCCTCACAGAAAACCGACGTGAAACAACGTTGCGTTGTTTCACGTCGTGTGAGTAAAGTTACCAGAGGCCTTAGTACAAGTTTGTCTTACGTATAAATTAATCAAAACGAGTACGCGTTCAGCGCTCTAATTGGTTGGTTCATTGGCGCCCGCCAATCAGAGTGCCGAACGTGTACTCGTTTCGAATACTTAATCGTAAATGAAACTCATACTAAGGCCTCAGATCCTCCCCCCTTCCCAATCTTCCTAATCCCTGCATCCCCACCAATCTTCAAATTCCTAGTGCCCAAGTAGCTGGTAACGCACTTGTATTCCGGTAGTCCATGGGCGATGAGCGTACGGCGCTTCGCGTTCCGCGCGCGCCTCAAAGAGCCATCAGACCACCACAGATGGGGCCCAATAGGGCCGATGCCGATTCGGAGTCGCGGAGAACCTAACGGGTAACCGGGGCTTCGGCTCGACGTGCAGGAGAAGGAACGGGGTGGTTTTTAGTCAGTAAGAGTCTGACACTCCCTCCCGCCTCACCCAGGCGGGAGCAGTCATTCGATGATTTTTCCCTCTTAAAAAAAAAAAGTCCATGGGCGATGCTGATTGCTTACCTTGTTTATAAGGTGATCCGTCTGCTCTTTTACCGGCTTATTCCATGAAAAAATCTCAAATTTACATTGGTCTATTTATCATGTATAATGCTGTTATCAAGTCTGTTGATGATCTTCATAAAAACTTTTAAATGGAGACTCAATTTGAGACTGTATTGTGGTTTCGACTAGTCACAAACACGTCTCAAATCACACGAAACTACAAACTCGTCGGTTTGTAATAGATAAGATAGCATTCTTACCTAATGACACAATTGTTTACGTCTGTGTTTGGAAGATAGAATAGACCATATTCCCTTTCCTTGCACGGTTCTCACAAATGATCTTTTATATTTGTCTGGACTTTAAAAGAGCGACAGACCTCTGTGTTTGTTTAGGAATTTCTTCTCAGAGTAGTCAGTTAAGACCGGCTTTATTTAATAAGTCAAAGTCAAAGTCAAAGCCAAAGTCATTTATTTCAATTAGGCCAGAATGTCACTTTCGAACGTCAAAATAAAAATAATATTAAAAGTGAAGCTATTTGCTATATTAAAAAAAAATAAACACCGTGTAAAAGTACTGCTTTTTAGCCTATATGCAAAAGTAAATTCACTTATTTCACTTGTTTGGCTACGAATTCCAGATTAGAAAGCGTCCTAAAGGATAACTGTCCTTAAATTCTTAATACCCAAAAGGCCGGTAACGCACTTGTAACACCTCTGGTGTTTACGGTGTCCATGGGCGACGCTGATTGCTTACCATCAGGTGATCCGTCTTCTCATTTAAATCGGCTTATTCCATAAAAAACTTTATAAATGAATGGCATTAAGTCTGCTCTATTTACCTTATATTTAACATAACGCCTTTTATCCCCGAAGGGGTAGGCAGAGGTGTACACTATGCTATGTACATTATGCTACTGCACAATGTAAGACCCACTTTTCACTATTTATGTTATGAGTCCCATGTAATAGGGGGTGAGCCTATTGCCATATACCGGGCACAATTCCAGACTCCGTGCTACTACTGAGAATTTATAAAACCCCAGTAATAATATTTTGCCCGACCCGGGAATCAAGTGAAACAAGTGAAACAACAAGTGAAACAAGTGAATTTATTTCTGCAAATAGGCTACAAGGCAGCACTTTTACACGTCAATTTTATCAAGCGAACGATGAGGTCGACATTTCCTAACTGACTACTCTGAGAAGAAATGCCGAAACAAACTCAGAGGTCTGTCTCTTTTAAAGTCCAGACAATATGTATAACATGTGTGAGAACCGTGCCAGTTCTTTCTGTAGTGGGCTTTTGAGGAAAGAACCACAACAGTTTGAGCGGACCCGTTCTGAAGGCAGTACGCATGTGTCGGTTTACAGTCAGCTCAATTAACAGGTGAGGCTGACTGATTCGACGAACAATACCAACCTAAAGAACATTTGCGTGGGTCGCACAAATACTCAAACTGTCAGAAAAAGGGTAATTAGAAAAGAAATGGTGAGGCAAAGTCTCGCACGGTCCTAGCACTAACAATTGTTAAATAAAAAGTAAATGTCAAGTTAGAACAACATATGAAAAACAATGTCACATTAAAACAATAATGTCAAATTGCATATAAAAAAAGAAATGTAACTATATGTTACAAACATGTCAACATGACCTGTGTGGACGTTACAGCAGCTTATTCCCAAGCCAGACTATCATCTAGGTAGTCTTTTATTTTATAATAAGCTTTACTATAAAATTTATCTTTAATGACATTTTTAAATTTATTTAGACTCAAATTTTGGATATGGCTGGGAATCTTATTGTAAAAGCGTATACTCTGACATCTAAACGAACCACTTATTTTCTTTAGTCTAGTAGTGGGAACAACATATTTGTCTTTATTTCTCGTGTTTATATTATGTATATCACTATGTTTTTTAAATAAACTTTTGTTTTTATGAGCATATACTAAATTTTCATAAATGTATTGAGAAGCAACCGTCATTATATTAATTTCTTTAAATAGTTCCCTGAGAGAGTACCTCGGACTAAGATTATAAATTGATCGAATGGCCCTCTTCTGCAGAACAAAGATAGATTGAATGTCAGCAGCATTCCCCCATAAGAGAATACCATATGACATAACACTATGAAAATAACTAAAGTATACTAATCGCGCTGTATCTACATCGGTTAGATTTCTAATTTTTTTAACGGCATATGCTGCAGAACTGAGCCTTTTCGATAACTTATTTATATGTGGAGCCCACTGGAGCTTAGCGTCTAGGGTTATACCTAAAAAGACAGTAGAATCTACAGGGCTCAACTCCTCACCCTTAATGAGCACGCTGGTTTTCACATGTCCAACATTTGGTGTTGTAAATTTAATGCATTTAGTTTTAGTTCCATTTAGTAATAGGTTGTTGGCATTGAACCAGCGTACTATCTCCGAGAGAGCACTGTTCACATTATTAATAACTAATTGTCTACGTTTAAGTTTAAATAATAACGAAGTATCATCCGCAAACAGTACTATCCCGTGGTTATCCCTTACAAGGTAAGGTAAGTCATTTATATATATAAGAAACAAAAATGGGCCGAGAATTGACCCCTGCGGAACCCCCATCCTGACAACAGACCCGGTGGAGACTTTTCCGTTTATTTCGACTCTCTGAATCCTGTTACTCAAGTATGAGGTAAGAAGATCCAGAGATTTACCTCTTATTCCATAATGGGATAGCTTCCTGATCAATGTATCATGAAGGACACAATCGAACGCCTTGGATAAGTCACAAAAAATGCCCAAAGCGTCGCTTGAGTCCTCCCACGCGTCATATATGTGATTAAGAAGTTCAACACCGGCATCAGTTGTTGAACGACCCCTGGTAAAACCAAACTGGTTACTATGTAACAATTTATTTCTATTAAAAAATCTTTGCATTTGATTTAGAATAATTTTTTCAAAAATTTTACTAAATGTAGGTAGTACTGAAATAGGTCTAAAGTTAGTGGGGTCAGAAGTACTACCTGATTTAAATAACGGAGTTATTTTACTATTTTTCATAAGATCAGGAAACACACCGCGGTCGATACAATTATTAAAAATTAGAGCTAATAGAGGTGCTATAATAGCTATAACAGAGCTGGCAATGTACACAGAATTTCCCCACAAATCTGCAGTCTTTTTCTTATTTAAGGTATGGAAGGTTTTGACGATATCTGTACAATCTATGTGTTCAAAAGAGAACCCTATGCTGCAAGCTATAACGTTTTCTTTTAGTAAAGATTCTGCAACAGTGGGAGATGAATTCAATGACTTAGTCGTAGATATAGGAATGTCCGAAAAGAAACTTTCAAATGCAGCTGCAACTTCTGCGTCTGATTTTATTACATTATTATCAATTAGAAGACTATATTCATTACTTTTCTTTTTGGACCTTCCCGTCTCACTGTTAATAATACTCCAGGTCGCTCTGATGACATTGGTACTGTTCTTTATTTTGGAGCTCAAGTACCGCGACTTTGCAATAGCGCAGACCTTTTTAAACAATTTAGAATATTTCCT